AATAATGTTCACAGTTATGCTTGTTTCACTGGGGAACAGTTTCCAGAGCTCTCATGCCACCATTTCAGATGTCACCACCCTGCCAGGCTCTTGTTCTGCTGCAGTAGCTAAGCTTTAGAATTTGTCTCTCAGGCTGCTTCAAGCAGTCATCATTCTCACAGAGCGAGCCCTGCAAGGGACGGGGAGAGAGACAGACACAGCCCTGGTGGCATTATAGGAGCCTTGGGATCTAGCTGTGCTTGAGATGAGCCCTCTGATCTGGACTCCACGGTCAGATAAGTGAATAAATTGCCTTCTTTGCTTAGCTAGTTGCAATGGAGTTCCTCTCACATGTAACCAAGAGTTGTAACTAATACCCTGAATGTCAAACTTTTAATAATGTGTGAGTAAACGATAAGTACTGTGGAAAGCTTGTTCAACAAAATTAGTATCTAGGGTCATTTTCATGTGATATTTAGGTAGTTAATCTCATCCTGATAATCTATGGCCTCTGAGTGCTTGAAGAAATAGATAGACATCATTTATGATGATTCTAGCTGATGTTCCTCTTAATAAGCATTTTTAATACGTTCCTATTCGCCTGTCAATATTTGTTGCTACCCAAAGGGTTGTTTCCAAGGAAGTCTCAATGTTAATTGCTAATTCTGAGGTATAATATTAACAATAATACAGAAGCCTAACTTTAATTATAAAAAGTTCTAATAAGTCAGGTAAACCTCTCTTTTCCATCGGTCTATGGCAAACTTATTAGAACATTTCTGGTAAGCATACAGTTTTCCAAATATCTGAACCAGATAAAGACCTGTTTAACAAATTAGAAGTAGAAAGAGGGAAGACTTATGTTGTTGCCCTTGATGTGATATAGAAAATCTAGGTAATTAAGATTTTTGCTGATTTGGGATACTACTACTTTGACATATTAAAGCATGGGACAAGTTTGTTGGAAACATAAGAGTTAGAAATTCTCAGGATGTATTTATAGTTCAAGACTGTGAGCAATTTTATCCAATCTCTCTTGATAATATTCTTCCCTAACTCCTTCCTTGAATGTGGATACTTATGACAAGTTTTATGAGCAAGGCATCAGACATTATTATAATCCTGGAACTTACAAAACTTGGTTAAAAAAGTCTTTCTCTGGAGGATGACTGGAAAGTGCCTTAACCTACCTCATATTACCATGTTTGGTACCGCTTGCCAATAAAGTCTCTGTAGATTCTGCAATCCAGTGATCTCTTGTCATATTTTAAATATCTCTAGGATCTCCAGAGGAGCACATTATTGAGAAGACAGGTCTTTATAATCAAACAGGCACAGTGTGTAACAAAATGTAGAGATCCATTATGCAATCTCACCAATTCCTATTAAATGAGGAAAAGGTGATGTGAATTCACAAAACTCAATTATTCTTATAGAATAAAGGCTTTTGGCCTTCACTAAGGAAAAAAGGGAAAAGTCCTCCAAGGTCAGTTTTAATTGACAGGTTTGATTTATTTGTGATTGGCATATTGTTTTAAATACTTTGAGCTTCTGAATTACCTGAAAGCAGAATGCAGTCTAGGGAGCTTAATCAAGTCATCTGCTGTTTACTTTGCACTAATAATGGTCCTTAGATCCACCATTCACAGAAATAGAAAAGTAAGCATCCACTGATTTAGGACTTCATAAATCTTGAATTGGTGGGATCTGAATTCCACTAATTGTACTTGAGAATCTAACAGTCTTGAGTTGCAAAGACACATGCTCTGATTAGTAAAATCTTACCTGAGAAAGGGTTTCATCTACAGGTTTGTGGTAGATGACACTCCCTCAGAAAAGAGGTAAGGGTTTCCCTGGTGCTGCAGTGGTTAAGAATCCGCCTGCCGATGCAGGGGACGCGGGTTCGAGCCCTAGTCCGGGAAGATCCCACATGCCGTGGAGCAACTAAGCCCGTGCGCCACAACTACTGACCCTGTGCTCTAAAGCCCGCGAGCCACAACTACTGAAGCCCGCGAGCCTAGAGCCCCTGCTCCGCAGCAAGAAAAGCCACCACAATGAGAAGCCTGCATACTGCAACGAAGAGTAGCCCCTGCTCCCCGCAATAGAGAAAGCCCGCGCAGCAGCAGACTCAACAAAGCCAAAAACAAAAATAAATAAAAATTAAAAATAAAAAAAATTTTAAAAAAGAAAGAAAAGAGGTAAGACTGTGATTCTCAGTCAACCGACTGACCAGGGCTAGAATGTTTGCATTTTATTTTATTTTATTTATTTGGTTGCACCGGGTCTTAGTTGCAGCTCGCGGACTCCTTAGTCGTGGCATGTGAACTCTTAGTTGCGGCATGCATGTGGGATCTAGTTCCCTGACCAGGGATCAGATCTGGGCCCCCTGCGTTGGGAGCACGGAGTCTTCACCACTGTGCCCCCAGGGAAGTCCCTGCATTTTAGAATCTCCATCTCCTCTGCGGTGCCTCGGCAGCACACGGGTCTGGTTTTACAGAGACGAATTCCAAGGAAAGCATCACCTAGACTTTATTTCAAATTACCCTGAGGATCAATATATCTCACTGATGTCCAGAAACTCAATGTTTATAATCTTCTGTTATGATATACAACTCAGGGAAGGTAAATGTCCTGTCAACTGCAATCTGTCTTTATTATTTTTAAGGAGGGCTAATTTCCATTATCAAAAGCAGATAAGGAATGCCAGCACTCATTTGTCATTCAAAATGGAATAGACTTGTTTAGCTGGGAATGAATGAAAAGCATCATGTGGTGGGTCTGTTTTTTTAGTAGTGGCAATCAAGTCACAATTCAAGGTCAGGGAAGATGCAAATGTGTTCTACTGGGTTGCTACTATTTTTTTGCATACGTTGGGGAGACAATTTTCCAAAAATAACTTGGGATTTCTAATATTTTTTTCCCCTAAAACAGAGATAAGAAGCAGAAGCCTGAGATTTTCTCTCGTCTTCTCAAATAGTAGTTACTTTTCATTTCACCAATCTGGAGATGTTGGTTCTGATTTGGGGAAGTCTTTTCTTACTCCCATTTTAATGCAATGAATCCCACCTCACAACCGGTATAAAAGGCTGTGGCATGTGAAAAATAAGTCATTTAGTAGTGAATGGGCTTGTGCAGCAAATCAGCACCAAGAGTACAGCCAGGCCTTGTTTTTTTCACAGGTTCTGCACAGGAAATGCTAAAACTGCCATTTGCTATTTGGGATTTCAGACCAACAGATGGTAAGACCTCCCTGTGTGGCTGTTTCCCAGGCACCTCGAAATCAAAATATGACCCAAATTAAACTCATCTTCTGCCTTACAAATAATGGTCTTTCTTTAGCCTTTTCCATCTCTAAATAGCACTGCCATCCATTCTGTAGGCTGAACTATAAGAAATTGCCTTTTTTGAAGGTCATAAGTAGCTGGATACTGGCAATTTCAAACAGATCAACCTTCATAGCTGTTCAGGTCAGAAACCTGGGTGAGATCTTTATCACCTCCTCTCCCCTTCAACTCCCACAGCCAGCCAGTCATGGGGACTGGTAATTCTATTCCTCAGGCACGGTCTGCATCCATCTCTAAGGCAACTGCCATGGCCGAAGTCGGTATTAATTGGCCTCAGCAATTCCACTGTCCACACTGCAATGAACCGGTGAGTCCTCTGTATTACCCAAGTCAGATCATCTCACTTTCGTGTTAAGAATTGTTCAATGGCGTCTCACTGCCCTTAACACAAAGACCAGACACTCCAACATGGCTTACAGAGCCTGCAAGCTCCAGCCCCTGCCGACCTCTTCTATCGTACCGTGCTCTATCTTCTGGTTACTGGACCCTCTATCTTCTCAAACGTGTTCCTGTCCACTTTTGCAGTAGGGCCCCTTTGTACCTACTATTCCATTTGCCTGGAACTCTTTTCTCTCATTACCCACCCTAGTCTCTCAGTGACCCCCTACTACTCCTTCTTTCACATCTCAGCATAAAAGCCATTCCTCGAGAGAACCTTCTAGACATCCCCGAGACCAGAGTGGAACCCCATGTTACATACATCCATGAGACTCTGTTCTCCACCTCAGCATGGATCACATTTCTAATTACCTGTTCAATGCCTTGCTAGACTCAAACTCCAAGGAGGCAAGACCAATAGATAACTAATAAGGACCTACTGTGTAGCACAGGGAACTCTACTCAATATTCTATAATGACCTACATGGGAAAAGAAACTAAAAAAAAAGTGGATATATGTATAACTGACTCACTTTGCTGTACAGCGGAAAGTAACACAACATTGTAAATCAACTCTACTCCAATAAAAAAAAAAAAAGACCACAACTGTCTTGCTCACCACCATATCGCCATCACTAAGCCAGGGCTTCGCACCTAATGGGTGCTCAATAAGTGTTTACTGAAGGCATGACCTTCACAAATGTCAAGGTTACAGTTCACAATTCAAAGCTGCCATCTTTGTTCAGTGATATTCTCAGTTTTGGAATATCTTCGGTGATTTTTCTATTTAGAATTTTAAAGGAGGAAACAAAAACATTCAATGTGAAAATTCAAAATGGAAAAGGTGAACCAGAACTCTGGACCTTCTCTGAATTATCCCCTAGCATAGCTACATCTAGAAATAGTTATTATTATAAGAGAAATAATAATAATCTAGAATAACCCTTATTGAGCACCAACTATGTGCCAAGCTTATGGAGGAAAGTGAGGCTTAGAGAAGTTAAGAGGTTTAGTGAGGTCCACACAGTTAGTAACTGGTGCGTCCATAGTCACAAAGACCCATAATCCAAGACATGCTTGGGATGCTCTCAGTCCCTCAATCTTTGGGAAAGACAATTTCTCAACCACAGGGACCCTCTCTCTACACCCTGAAGACTCAGAGCATCAACTACAGAAACCAAGAGGAACACATTTTCCACTGTAATTAAAATGTCTCTAAACACACCCTAGTTAATTCCATGATGTTTCCAAGAGCAATTCTCTCCCAAGCAGCATCTTATTAAAAGCAGGTGTTCCTACCGGAAGAAAGAGTCTCTGGGCAGCACACGGTTTGAATAATTTCTTCCATTCCTGAGGGTTTCCAACCGAAAATGTGATGGGGTAGATTCTGTACTCAAACTTCTTTGTATATGAGTCTGGCCACTGTCGTAGCTGAAAAACATGGAAGGTCAGGGGAGGGTGATTAGACCCCAGAAATATGAAAAACACCTAAATCTTCTGCATGGCCAGGTGGAAATTATTCAGGTAGCATACGAAGAAAGTCTAATTTTATCACCACAATTTATGCTCACTGAATAAAAAGACCATTGCTAAGATTTTAAAAAATAACACCCAGAGTTGGCAAGGATGATGGGAAACTGGCACCTAAACTGCAAGGGTAAATTTAAACAAACTTCCAGGATGGCAATTTAGAGACTAGTAACAGTAAATCCCAAGACAGACGCACAAGGACTTTCACCGAAACATAGTTTGTAATAAACACAAACAAACAAGCAAAAAAATCTTGTTCAATACTCAATGCTCAACGATAAGGAATCGGGAAGACGCATTACGATGGAACTACGCGGTGGACTAATGTACAGTTAAAGTAGATCTATATGTGCTGTCATGAGAAAATGGTTACAATATATAGTTAGGTTTTAGTAAAAGCAAAGTACAATACGAAATGTATAATAAGGTTCTATCTTACAGGGAAAAATATATGCATACGCTTACACGTAGAGAAAAATCTGAACAGATAGGCGCCTAATTGTTAAACGTGGGTACCTGTGGAGGAGGTGGTGGTGGTGTCATTTTCTAAGTTTATATTTCTGTGTTCTTTAAGACTTTTATGGACAGTGTATATTACTTTGTCTGCATAAATTAATTTTATAATAAAATTATTTTAATTTATAGACTTTATTTTTCAGAGCAGGTTTATGGTTACAGAATTGAGCAGGAAGTACAGAGACAGTTCCCATATACCCTCTCTCCTTCCCCTCCCACCCCCCAGTTTCCCCATCATTGACATCTTGCATTACTGTGGTATGTTTGTTACAACCGATGAACCAATATCAATACATTGTTAAGAACCAATATCAATACATAGTTTACATTAGGGTTCATTCTTTGTGTTGTGTAATTTTACAGGTTTTGACAAATGCATGATGTTCTGTGTCTACCATTAGAGTATCATACAGCATAGTTCCATTGCCCCAAAAATCCCCTCTGTTCCATCTACTCATCCCTCCTCCCTCCTTTTCATCTCTGAACTACTGGCAACCACTGATCTTTTTACTGTCTCTCAGTTTTGTCTTTTCCAGAATGTGATATGGTTGGAATCACACAGCATACAGTCTTTTCAGATTGGCTTTTCTCCTTGGCAATATGCATTTAAAGTTCCTCCATGTCTTTCTGTAGCCTCACAGCTTATTTTTTTTATCACTGACCACTATTCCATTGTATAAACATATCACAGTTTGCTTGCCTATTTATCTATTGAAGGACATCTTGGCTGCTTCCAGTTTGGGGTGACTAGGAATAAAGCTGCTCTAAACATTCATGTGCAGGTTTCTGTGTGGACAGTTTATCAGTTCATTTGGGTAAATACCAAGGAATGCAATTACCAGATTGTATGGTCAGCCTACATTTAACTTTCTAAGAAGCTGCCAAACCATCTTCCCAAGTGGCTGTACCATTTTGCATTCCCACCAGCAATGAGTGAGAGCTCCTGTCGTTCCACATCCGCTTCAGCATCTGGTGTTATCAGTGTTATGGATTTTAGCAATTCTAATGGTATGTAGCTGTATCTCATCATTTTAATTTGCAATTCCTTAATGACATGTGATCTTGAGCATCCTTTTCATATGCTTATTTGCATATGTATCTGTGTATCTTCTTAATTCTTTTTAGTTAATGCCTTCCCAGTGCCACAGTAACTCCACTTCTGAGAATTTATCCTATGGAAAAATTCCAAAAGTACATACACACTTATTACAAGGTTGTTTACTGTAGTATTGTTTGTAACAGTGAAAAATAGGAAACAAGGTAAATAAGAAATTGGTGAAATAAGCTCTGGGATAGGCTTACACAACAGAATACTATGCAGCTACTAGTGACAATGTTGCAGAAAAAGGTCAGCAAAACATGGTAGTGGAAGAGCCAAACCCAGCCTGCTACAAATAGCACACAAGCCAAGAATGGGTTAAACATTTTAAAATAGTTGAAAAAAATAAAAACAAGAGGACTTCCCTGGTGGCGCAGTGGTTGAGAGTCAGCCTGCCGATGCAGGGGACACGGGTTCGTGCCCCGGTCTGGGAAGATCCCACATGCTGCGGAGCGGCTGGGCCCATGAGCCATGGCCGCTGGGCCTACGTGTCCGGAGCCTGTGCTCCGCAACGGGAGAGGCTGCGACAGTGAGAGGCCCGCGTACCGCAAAAAAAATAAAAATAAAAACAAGAGTAACACTTTGTGACATGTGAAAATCACATGAAATTTGAATTTCACTGTCCATAAATACAAGTTTTGTTGGAACATAGCCATACCCATTTGTTTAGGTATATCTATGGCTGCTTTTATACGAAGGAATAGAGGTGAGTAGCTGTGAGACCAGACAGCCTACAAAGCCTGAAATAGTTACTACCTGGTCTTTCACAGAAAAAGCTGGTCAACCCCTATTTTAGAAGAAATTCAGTAATATAAGTAACAGTGATAGAAAATATAGAATATAATTCCATTTCTGATGTTGATATGACAAGAAATGTAAATAAATACACAAAAATTGTTCTCCTCAGCATTAATATGATGGTTGATTTTTTTCATTTCTGATTTTATAACTTTTTTTTGATAGTTTACATTTTTACTCTCTGTCCACTATTATAACTTTTTTTTTTACAGCGTACATGTATTGCTTATATAGTCGCATAAAATTTTTTGAAAAACCACACCATTGGGAGCACTTTAAATTTGCAATTTTGAGATGGATATTTGGGAGAGAAATCTTCAGGCATAAATACCCAACACAAGTGCACGAACACATCAGAACTGACACTGGGCATGAACATTCAGTGCAACAGTACCAACCAATCAGAACAGACACTGGGCACAAATACTCAGGACAACTGTGCCACTGCACAACAGCCCAAAATCATCCCTGGAAGGAGAACGGGAAGGTCCTATAGTCTACTGATTTCCTTGACTCTTTGATCTTTAGCATCCTATCTTCTAGAAGGGTTTATCCACCTTTGCCGATCCATGTCTTTTAAGTGGAATATTCAGTCCATTTATATTTGTTCCTATGTCTATATTTGAATAGTATACTGACTCCAGCCACTAGAAATTCCTGTTGACACCTCTTCCTATGTCAGAGCTACACACACACACACACACACACACACACACACACATGATGTCAATGCCCCATGGGGCCCCACTTATCACCAGAACGGATTGGTGGCCATCCCTGCTTCTGTGTCGCACTATTTCCTGATTCTGAGTCTGGGGCAGGAGCACAAATTAACCAAACTTAAATCATATATTTGATCCTGAACTGTCTGGAGAAGCTACGAAATCAACCAGCTGGCATTTTCAGCTTTTATACTGGGAGATGACAAAAATAAATGAAACTTTCAAATATTAAATACCAACAACGTAGACAGTAAATACCACCAGACAGTGTACTTAAGCAGCTTTAAAAAAATTTCTACTTAACAGAACTCGTCCACAATGCCGTTTCCAGAGGGATAATGATGGCAATTAGCATTTTGTTTTGTTTTGTTTTGACCCTGAGGTGTGTGGCCCTGAGCATCTCCGGAAGTTATCCCAAGACACTCTGGATATTCCCACAATGCCTCAGTGTTGAAACTGACAACCTTCAGAAGGATGGTATAACCTGCACCTCCACACCAGCATCTCATGTGGCTGAGCAGAAACCAACTGCTGCTGATCTATAGCTTCAGGGCTAACACAGTGCCCAACCCAGGGAGATGTCCCAAGGAATCTTTGTGGAATGAGAGAATAAATAGGTTATCTGATTCAGCCTCACAATTACACTCTGCAATAAGAAGAGCAAGAATCGTTTGTCCCTTTTGTATGTCTATTATAGATTTTTGCTTGATACAGATGAAGAAATTGAGACTGAGAAAAGTTCTGTGACTTACGGAAGAGCCAATATTTAACATCTAAATTTGCACCATGATCCCAGCATGGAAAAGAAAGGGGTGACTTCATATGCCCTGCGGTGATGTGAACACCCTATTATAATCTCCTTTGCCAATGGAGCTTCACTGGTCTAACAAAGAACTGAGGAAATAAGCCATCAGAGGGATAAAGTCAGCAGGGCAACGTAAAACATGGCTCAACTTCACAAGTATCTGCAATATTTCCCCATACTTTAGCTCCTAATTTATAATGTCCCAGGCACTATGGCTCATAACAAATTACCCCAAAACTTAGCAGTATAAAACGACCATTTATTATGCTCAGATATCCAAGGATCAGGAATTCAGACAAGGCACAGAAGGGACGGCTTGAGTCCGCTCCACAATGTCTGGGGCCTCAGCTAGAAGGCTTGGAGGCTGGGGGCTTGAATCATCTAAAGGCTCGTTCTCACATGTCCGGTGGTGGAGGTCAATTACCGACTGGGGACCTCAGCTCCTCTGTGTGGGCGAGTTTGGACTTCCTCACTGCATGGTGGCCAGGTTCCAGGGCCAGGCATCCCTAGACAGAGCCAGGCACAAGCTGTATGCTTTCAATGATCTAGCTTCAGGACATTTGGCATACTCTATTTTATATACACATACGTATTATGTAGGTAGACGTATCTGTATTAGCCCTTGCCTTATAACAAATTACCCCCAAAGCTAGTAGCTTAAAACCACAAATGTTCATTAACTCATATCATTTTTTAGGGTCAGGGATCTGTGAATTGGGTTGTTCCAGCTCAGGACCTCTCATGAGGGTGAGTCATGTGAAGGCTGGATGGGGCTAGAGGTCCTGTCTCCAAGCTCAAGCACACAAGTGTCGGCAAGAGGCCTTCATTCCTTAACACACGGGCCTCTGCAAGGGCTGCTCTGACCTAAAAGCTGACCTCCAAGAGAGAAAGAGTGCAACCAAGATGGAAGGTGCAGTGCCTTATTAAACCTAATCTCAAAAGTGACATAGCATCACTTCTTCCCTATGCTACTGGTCACACAGGCCAGGCCTGGGACAGTGCAGGAGGGAAATATACAAAGGTGTGAATAACAGGAGGCCCTTTGGAAAACACAATCTGTTACACATGTATAGTTACACATACACATCTTCCTTCTCTTGTCTTTTTTAAGTCCAAGCCTGTATTCTGTTCTGCTCTGTCCTCATGCCCCAACTTCTAGCATGCAGTAGGTACTCAATAAATACTTGTCCAATGGATATTGTACATGACCTGACTAGTGTTGACCCATAGCCACTTTTCCTCCATTCCTTCATGTAGGATACCTCTCAGCCCCCTTGGAGTTGGGTGGGCCTTGTGACCAACTGCTTCTGGACAGTTAAATGGGAGCAGAAATGTCACTGTCGAGTTGAGGGAGTGAAAAGCACAGTGGGGATCCGATAGTCCCAATCTTTCCTTTAGTGGCATCTCAAGAACTGCAGAGGCCAAATGTTCCAGCAGGTGCAGCTACGTGCATGAATGGTCTCTGTCAACTGTGGTCCCAGGCTGAGGGGGCCGTGTGGACAGGGACCCTGCTGTGCCTGCATGAGACATGCAGCAGGCATGTGGAAAGTCTCTGAGCTTTCTGGAAGCTGTCACTGCAGCCTGAGGTAGCCTATCAAGATTATCGATAAGCATCTCTTGTATCACTTCTGCTGGTCCCAAGCTACAAAGGGGGAAACCGAAGTCCAAAAAGCCCACAAGACTTGCCGGAGATCACACAGCAAGAGTGGAGCTAAATTTTGAATTCAAGACTTCCATCTACTAGTTTGGGAGGTAGTAGGATATAGTGGTTAAGTTCGTGGAGGTCTGAGGCAGTAACCTTGAACTGACACCTGATGAGCTACTCACTAAGACTCTCTGAGTCTCAATGATCTCAGCTAGTAAAATAGGGACATGGTTATTACCATCTTCAAAGGATTCTTGTGAGGATTAAGTAAAAGTAAATCATAAGTCATAAGCCCTTGATAAAGGCTATTTTATTTTTAAAATTGTTATTACTACTATTATTGTTATTATTATTAATTATAATTCCCCTTACACCACAGAGAAGCTACCTATGTGTGTTTCAATGTTTTTCTTTGCCCCTTTCACTGACTCGGACCTTCCTCAAGCCATTTTCCAATCAATTTCAAAGCCCCAAGACTGTTCTGCCCTGACTTCTCTTGGTGAGGATGTCGAGGGGATTTTTTTTCTGGAGAAAACATAACACGTTTTCTAGCTTTCTGTTATTACTCTTTCTCTGCCCAACAGGCTGCTTTGGCCTTTCTCATCAGCATGGCTACCCCAGTAGCAGGATGCAGCCTGGTGACACAAGTCGGTAGATACAAAACAGAAGAGCTGCTCTCTCTGCCAGCGCACAAGAACTCACCGCAAGAGAAGCCTCTCCAGGAAAACAAAGCTCAGTGTGCAGTCGCACACGTACCGAGCCCCGGGAGAAGAGGCATTTCCAAAGCTCTCCTGGACCGGGAGGAAACTGCTACTTATTCCTCAGTACAGGAAGAGTCAAATCAATGATGACCCAGCCACATGATAAAAGACTGTGTCGTCAGCAAAAAGGGATGAGGTGAGAATCTATGAGTCCTCACCTGGAACGATATTGATGCTATGGCTTTAAGTGAGGAAACGCAAGTTCCAGAATAATACACAGAGTGATTTGGATTTTGTAAAAGAAATATGTTTTGATAAATAAATATAATAAATAAGTATATTATATATTTATATATATAAAATAAAAGAATACGTGCATGTGCATGTGTTATACATATATGTGTTTATACTTATACAAATATACGTGTATACTCACAAACATACACAATCACACAGATGTGTAAACACACACACACCTGCATATGAAAAAAAATATGGGAGAATCACTCACAAGTGTTGACTCTGACAGTTTCTTGTGTGGGAAAGAACCGTAGCAAGGACTTCTGCCTTTTTAATTTATAACATCTATACTGTTGGAATTTATTTTGATGAGCGTATATTATTTGTCATTCAAAAAACATACATACATAGATAAAAATTAGCTACGTGACTCCCACTAAGAACAATGTCAATAACACCAAGAGGGATGAAGCCCTGGGTCAAGTGCTTTAAGTGCATCATCTCATTTAATCCTCACCATGTCTCTCTACAGGGGGTGTAATTATCCCTATATTATAGATGAGAACAGTAAGGCTCGGAGTCAAGGGTTCATGGGCGCACAGCTGGGTATGCAGCAAAATAATTAGGAAACAGGATATGCCTTTCCCGCAATGCAGTCTGTCTGCACTCAGTAAACAGCGTGCCACAATTCCTGCACATTCACCTGCTTGTCAAACTCGGACTTCAGAGATTCTTCGGTGAAGATGTGAAATCGCATCTTCCTGTGGCTGAAGAGCACGGCCGATTTGAGCATGACCAGCGTCTCCTCCAGCCGATTGCCACAGGCCACCACGGCCAGGTGGATCCAGAGCTCGGGGGGCAGCACAGCTTGGAAACTCCTGAGTTCTCCAGGCCTCCTAGAAAGAAGAAAAACAGGTGAATGCTGTTATTAAACTCATAAAAGAAAAACAAAACAGCTAGTAAAGGGTTGGAACGTTTCAAAACATGAACAGGCACAGTCTGTTATATTTTATAAAATGATAAGCATTTTGACAATTCTTCCTGCTTAGGGAAAAATACCGTTTATTCCCATATTTATCCTGGCAATAGCAGGATGAGTCACTGTTTGGACTGCTATAGGTGTCTGAGGCTTTTTCCGCCAGCATTCAGCTGTCTGTGCCTGCTGGCTGCCTACTGGCCCATGTTTGGAAATGGTATTGCTAAACTCTTGACAGCTGACACAGGGCTGTGGAGCTCCCACTCACATGGGCCATGGAAATTAGATTTGAACGCAACTTGGACAAGAGGAAGGTGGGCGGTGGCTTTCCCATGTGAAACGAGCAACATGATACTCCCATGATCTGGATGGTTTTAGCTTGCAGTGGAATGCATGACCACCGGACCATAGGAAAATCATGCACACCCGGGAAGTGAGCAAAGAAAACAACGCATGGGCCTCCATTCCATCTTGGGAGAGTCTTAAAGAAACAGGTGTTAATCCTAAATGTCTCGCTCAAGACTGCGGAGCTGGTAGGTACGAAATTCAGCTTCTAGTGTGAAGTGCATATTAACGAGAAGCAGACAGGAGAGGGGGCAGGTTAAGCTGAAAATTACCAAGGTATCAAGTATCCAGTCAACAGCTGAGAGGGGAATAGGGTCCAAGAAGTCCAGAATCATCATCCAGCTATTTCCTCGTAATAAAACATTTGTTCCAGACAAGGAGACACAGCCAAGCCTCAAACACACCACTGAGAAACATTTGCAGGCAAGCTGGAAGAAGCTGGCCTGGAAAAGGTGCCCTGAGACAAATGAAACTAATTTACTTGCACAAAAGATCTGGAGACCAGGGGAACTTGGACGTGGAATGCTACCTTCCTTCCAAAAACTTCGAGTTCAATCAGCGTGCTGCTCCATTATTCACTGCTTGGTCGAATAAAGGCAGCCTTGCTCCAGATTTCTTTCACCAAGAGGAAAGTTGAAGATGTGGGTGGAGGACTTTTGATAGCTTTCCAGTTTGATTACTTAAGAGCATGCTGAATAGAAGCACAGCCTGCTGGCTTAGTTAAGCTCAGATTCGGGGAGTCACTGAGATTCTAGTTATTTCGGGGATCGAAGGAAAAGACAAGTAGAGCTGTCCTACATATCTCCTGAAATTGTCCACGTCTCTCCATGCCCCTGCTGCTACCTGAGGAGATCACCAACTTCCCTCACCTGATCGCTGTGACAGCCCCCTAGATGGTCCACCTGTCTCCAGTCTGATCCTTAACCCCTATCCTATGATTTCTTCTTGTGGGTGCCAGAGTGACGTTCTTCTAAAAATGCACAAAGGATCGTGTTACTCCCTTGATAAAAATCATGTAAGGCTCCCGACTGCCTTCAAGGTCAAGTCCAAACTGCTGACTGCGGCTCCTACTTATCTCTCTTGTAACTGCCTCTAGCACCCTCCGCCTGCATGGGCAGCCATGCAAAATCACGGTCACACTTATATTGCAGCTCTCCAGCTCACTCCTAGTCATGAGACCATGCTGGGTTGCCTTCGGGCCTTGGCACATACACTGTCTCTCAGAAATGCTCTGCTCTCTCTACCTTGCTAACTGCAGCCCATTTATTAGTCCACAAATCTATACTGAGTGCCTACTATGTGCCAGACACCGTTCTAGGTGCCAGGAAGACAGTAGCGAACAAACCAGACCAAGATGCCTGCGCTTGCAGAAGTTACATTCTACAGGTGGTAGGAAAAAGACAAAGAAAGAATAATGGTCAAAGCAAACAATAACTAAGTAACTTATATAGAAAGTTATCCAGTGGTAAGTGCTAGGAGGAAATAGATAACAGAGCCAGGAGGGATACAGGAGTGGCTGATGGGCTGGAATATATTATACAGTGCAAAGTTAGGGGCGTCCTCACTGAGCAAGTGAGATCCAACGACTGCCTGACGGTGGGGAAGGCAGGAGGGAGTCACGTGCTTTTCTGGGTGAGGAAGATTCCAGGCAGAGGGGACAGTCAGAGCAAAGACACTAAATCAGGAGCATGCCTGGTGAACTCAAGAACCCTTGCCTTCAGGATTCAGACGTCTTCTCTCCCTCAGCTTCATGGATGGGTTTTCATACCTGCTATTAAAGCCAACTCCCAACCAATGTATGTAAAGGGATGGGAAGGATGCGTCACAGATAATGCTAAAATCACAGTCAATTAACAAAAAAGACAGTCAAAATACCAGCCAAAGTATGCTACAAAAGAGATTAAATGCAAACTCACTTGCTTAAAGTTATGTTCAATATTTAAAAACACAGGTATCCAAAGGTACTAAAATGATAAATACAATAGCTTAGATGTCTTAAATACGAACCATTACCCCACCCCCAAATAGAACCACTCGGCCTAGTTTAGCTTTACACCTTGGGCTTTTACATAAATTAAAAGTTTTAACCTCAGTAATCAGGGAAATACTAATTCAAACAATAAAGAGATTCCACGTTATTTTCGCACTGGCAAAACATAAAAAATAAAAGTTGGACCATACACGTCTCAGAGTGGATATGGAGGTGGGGGATAGCTCAGAGGCCGCTAGTGGCAGTGTAAGTTGACCCAAACACTTTGGAAAGCCTTTTGGCAACATCTATCAGGAGTGAAGATATATATATATATATACGCCCTCACTCTTCTGGTTCTACCCTTACATATGTGACCTGAAGAAACTCTTGCACGTTTGCACAGGACCCACACAAGAATGCTCACAGCAGCCCTGTGTATAATAGTGAAAAGCTGGAAAAAAACTCTTCTGTCTACGCACAGGAGAATCATGAATATATTTGACAAGGTTAAGTGGAATACTACACAGCAGAGAAAACGAACAATTCAGAAAGTCACGTGTCAACATAAGGATCAAGAGGAGAAACAGCAATTTGTAGCAGGATAGTGATAGAATGAGACCGTTTCGATGAAGCTTGAAAACCAGCAAAACAGCACTGCGTGCCGTTCACAGACATATGGAGCAAAAGTCATCATGCATGAGGATGACAAACATCAAAGGCAAGGCAGTGGTTATTTCCAGGGACTTAAGTTTTTATTTCTTAAGATGAGTGCAGGGTTCACAGAAATTCATGATGTAATTGTCTGTTTTATTCGTACGCCCAAACTATTTGACATATACTTTGTTTTTCTTTTTGATTAAAAAAGCTTGCACCTCCCTGCAGCACAGCAGGCCACTTCTTTTCTTTGCAGGCTTCAGTGATACAGGACTGCACGGTACACAGAGCAGGGGCTGGGGCCTGCAATCTTTTTTGGTGTCTGGTGACAGGTACTAAAAAAGACAAATAAAAGCCTCTCCTGGTGGCAGTTCAAGTATCAGCGGCTGGGGTTTAACGAGACCTTTGCTGCCCCTACTGTGTTACCTCTCACGTTACATTAAAAATCCTGGGCTTCAGGTAATAAGCGTCTGTGCTGTGTGGTCACACGGAATAATCAAGTTTAAGGGTGCTGAAATGGTGTGCCTTTCACGAGATCTTACCAACAGCACACTCAGCCCCTCTCAAATGTCACCTGAAGGCTCTGCAAGGATCCAGGGAAGTCCAGTCTGTGAACCTAGGACTTCTTAACCCCTTAAGTCGCCAGGTGTTGGTGGCAAATGGGAGATGGGGAACTGTACTTCCCCTGCTCTGACTGGTGGTTAACTATGTTCTTATTTACACTTTATAAAAGAAGACTGGAGTGGACATTTGCTGCCCAGGATTTTTAAAGACCTGTTGCTGAGGCTGGAGCTGATGGCAGGCACCTTGGCCACCACACTGGTGGAGCCTGGAAGGCAGTCAGCAGAGTAGAATGCAAAGCTACAAGATGGTGGGTCAGATCTCGGGTGACATTACTTGAGCACCTGAATCCAGGTGCACTGACCCTAACCCTGGAAGTTCATTGATCAAGCCAATAAATTCTCCTCTACTTAAGTCAGTTTGAAATAAACTTACAACTTAGCACTCAAAAGTGTCTTAAAGGCTTCCCTGGTGGCGCAGTGGATGAGCGTCCGCCTGCCGATGCAGGGGACACGGGTTCGTGCCCCGGTCCTGGAAGATCCCACATGCCGCGGAGCGGCTGGGCCCGTGAGCCATGGCCGCTGAGCCTGCGCGTCCGGAGCCTGTGCTCCGCAACGGGAGAGGCCACAACAGAGAAAGGCCCGGGAAGCGAAAAAAAAAAAAAAAAAAAAAAAAAAAAGGTGTCTTAACGTAGGTCTTAAAAATAGGTTTCCAATCACCTTGGACTCACTCCGCCTCTCTCATATTCTCACCGGGAGTCATCCTTGAAATGCTCCATGAATCCACTCCCTCTCTGTAGCTCACTACTAGGACCTCGATCAAATCTCCATCACTCTACCAGTTTCATAGGTGGAGGAGACACCAGATACCATGTCGCACAGCGGATTCCCGACCTGGCTGCATATCATCATCACGGGAGGTGTTTGTTAGTATTGAAGCCCCATCTCACAGAGATTCTGATTCCGTGGGTCTGGGGTGAGGCCCCAGAGTTCGCACATAAACACACTTAAACTACAACCACTTGCAGTTCATCTCCAGCCAGGAACTCATCATCTGAGCTGACCTCTCACCTCTCCTCTGTCTCCCAAACGCTTCCCCGAGCCCTCAGGAACGCCCATTCTATCCTCTGCCTTTCCTCACGGTCTCCTCTTCACCTCTTGCCTTAATGAAAACATGCTGCCTTGTGAGGACGCCACCTCCCCGGCAGACCCCTCGAGTGGCAGCTGTTCTTCCTGCCCTGTCCTAGGGGCCTCAGGGCAGGAGGAGGGGCTGTTTTTCTCCTTGATTCTCACTGCCGAGCCCAGACGTGGACCATGTCTCCATGGCGAAGTCCGTGGACGCAGCTATTCCACCTTCCGTGTTGCCGTCATCTCTCAGCTGCCGGTTTA